CTTCACCAATGACCCACCGCATGTTGACAACCGCCCCGCCAGCAGGTGTTATCACACCCCTTCTACAGAAGGGGAGGCACAGAGAGGCGGAGTGATTTTATAAAGTCACACAGTCAAGTGGGGAGCAGGAGTGGAACCCAGGCTTTGCCATGGGACTAGAAAGCTTCAGAGTCTGGAGATCACACAGAATAGTGTCCTTGGGGAGTCTGAGGTCTCCGTTTCTAGAGTGGTAGCATTCTGAAGTGCCAGGACCCCAGGACCTCCAGCTCTGGGACGTCTGAGTCCTGACGGCCGGGGTCAGGCACGCTGAGTGCCAGCCAGGCGGTGTCTTCAGCCCCACCAGTGGCCAGGCCGGCTCTGCCTGCGAGGCTGCCTGCCACGGTGCTCGGCGTGCGTGATCGGCGCTGGGAGCCGGCGCTGCGCAGCTCAGCCTCGCAGAACCCTTTCCACCCTTTGATTTCTTGGAGGACTTCCTGTGAAGGCCATGCTGAGTTCACAGGCCCGAGAAAGCGGAGCAGAGCTTCCAGCCCTGGGCAGCCTCACCCGGCCTTCGGGGAGGCCCACAGGAAGGACTGAGGCCAGGTGAGCGCCTGGATGACCCACTTCAGGGCTGGCATGTGGCTCCGTGGGACAGCGTCACCCAGCCCCCCAGAGGCCCTAGACCTGTCCCCAGCACCCCGCCAAGAATGTCTGTGGCCCTCACATCAGACCCTCACCACCGCGTGCAGTCAGCCAAGGGCTGGTCCAGCCTTCAGAACCCGTGCCCCCCACGCACAGCGCACCCCGGTTTCTCACGCCTGTTCAGGGTTCAGAGAACTCGCAGGGAGAGGAGACCCAGGCAGGACCCGCCTGTCTCAGTGCACCTGAAGGTGCCAGAGGCAGGTGGGTCCTTCCCACTCACCATCAGGGTTGATCGGGACATCCAGCTGGGGGTGCTCAGGCCGCGGCACTGCCAGGGGACACAGCCAGACCCAGCTGCCCTCAGCGCTGGCGGCCACAGGGCACACAGGGCAGGAGGGGCTTCTGTCCTGCTCGCCCAGGTCTAAGCCTCTCACTGTATCTGGGTGCCTCTGGGTGCCTGGGAGGTGGCCTTGCGTCCTGAGGAGACCCAGGCGGGTCCAGGAGCTGTCGTGCCTGGGGGGCTTCGAAGGGCAGTTCTGGGGCCTGGAGCCACCCAGAGTTCCTCTCTGCAGGGGCCCCGGCCAGCCCTTCCCGGACCCCTTGCTGCCCTGCACCTCCTGCTGCAGCCGTGGCTGGCACAGCGGGCATCCTGGGCTTGCCCCCCTTCTGAGCCCACCCAGGATGGAGTCCCACTGGCTCGCTGGAGGCTGCTGGACAAGCACCAGGGGCTGGGATGTGAGGCGGAGGCACACGCTGGGCAGATGCTGTCCACGCCTTTCCTGGCCTGCAGCCACAGCACCAGAAGCCACCGATGGTAGGGTGCGGGTGGACTTGCACAGGGCCACCCTCACAGTGCATGCCCTGCCTGGGCACCAATAAACTAGGCTGTTCCCAGCTCAGAGCTGCCTGCTGAGCCCCCCACTGTCCACTGGTCCCCCTTTTACAGACGATCAGACTGACACCCAGGAAGGAAAGGATTTGCCTTAACCCTCTGGCAAGGAGCCAAACTCAGATGAAATGGGACAATGACAGATGGGAAAAGAGGGGACAGACATCCAGGGAGCAGAGCATCATGGGGGAGTCCCCTCCTGGGAATGGGAAGGGGTCACTCCAGAAGCCCAACGTGTCACTTATCAGATGTGTCCAACTCCTACTAGTGCCTCAAAGCCCCATGTTCCACGCCCTGCCAGCCCTTTCTCTATCGTCCCTGCTCTCCTTCCAGACCCCCCACCTGGCCCTTCCTTCCGCTGGCTTCTCCTCAAAGGGGAGAGGTGGGCAGGGTGCCTGGCTGCTTCTGGCCTATTGAGGGGCTGTCCCTGAAGACAGGGCTCCTCTGGCCAACACTCCAGGTGAGGAAGTCTGTGCCTTCTGTCGTCCACTGGACAGCGCGAGCACCCGGCCCGGGGGTCCTGGCGGGGGCGGGGGACTCAGCCCCAGGCTCCCCGCTCCGCTGGGCCACCTGCCCGGTCCCTCGCAGCCCTCGCGAAGCCCCTTCTCCCCGGGGCGCCCGGCCGTCGGCCTCCGGGAGCTGCCCACCTGCCCCTCTGCTCCTCTCTCCCCGGTCGCCCCAGGACTGGCCGCTCCTGCAGGCGCCGGCCTCGGGCCTCAGTGTCCCGCGGGCGGGCGGTCGGGCGGGGCGACGGCGGGCGACGGCCTTATAAGGGCAGGCGCGGCGCCCAGTGGGCGGCCCGGGCCGAGGGGCGGCGCCGCCGGCCAGTCCCGCGGTGGCCGTGCAGCCATGAGCTCCTCGCAGTTCAACAAGGGGCCCGCGTACGGGCTCTCGGCCGAGGTCCGCAGCCGGGTGAGTGGCCGCGCCGTCGGGCAGGGTCGCGCGGGCGGCCGCGGGGCGCCGACGTCCGGGGAACAGCGCCCCGCGCCCCGCGCCCCGCGCCCAGAAGGCCCTGGGCCGCGGGGACCCCCAGCCCCTCTGCCGGGCTCGGGAAGGGGGCGGGGCCGGCGGGTTTGAGAAGGGCCGGGGACCCCCCAGGAGCCCCCCAGGAATTTCCAGGCCTCCAACACCTGGGGGGGGGCGAAGGAGGAAGTTGGGGCCCAGGAGCCACCGGAGGCAGCTAGATCCCCTGCACCGGCCCCAAACGTGTGGGCCTCCTCCCCTGGAAACCCCAGCGGCCCCGGAGGTCACCTGAAGACACGCTTCTAGTCTGGGCTCAGAGGGGCAGACACCGTTAGAGGGTCACACAGCAGGGCCCCTAAGGAAATAGGGGAAGGGCGTGTGGCTGGTGACCCCCACCCACCTGGCCTGAGGCTCTGGGGCCCTGCCAGCGGGGGAAGCGGTCTTCCCTGCCCCCGGCCTTGGCCAGGACCTGCCTGGGCAGCCAAGGGAGCCCCCACCAGCCTCCAGTCCTCCCCTGCCCTTCACAGCAGGGAGACTGAGGCCCACAGGCTGCGCGCACACCCTGTGCCAGTCTGTGGGTGCAGAGGCAGGGCAAGGCCCTGAGAGGCTGCTCCTGCTGCCCAGGCACAAGTGGACCCTGGACTCCTGGTTCTCCTGGGCGGTCTGATGTGGACAGAGAAGGGGGGAGCCGCAATCCTCTGAGACCCTGGGCTGGGGCAGCTCAGTACTGCTCTGGAGGGGTGAGGCCGCAGGCCAAAGGAGCAGCCCGGCGGCTCCCTGTGACTAGCCCTCAGTTTGTGGGACAGGAGGATGGGCCCTGCGCTGACCAGCCTGCAGGGCACTGAAGGATCCACCCTGAGGCAAACTGGCTGAGGCTTCAGCATCCACCTTCCTCCCAGGGATGATCCCCAGGCCTCGCCCACCCTGGCCAGACAGTGCTGGGGCAGGCCAGCATCCAGTGTGTCTCTGATCAGCTGTGCCATAGGACCCCCAGCTGGCCACGAGGCCTGGACTGCCGGGAACAGCTGGTCCTGATTTAGCAGGGCGGCACAGCCACATTCCTGGCAGTTTGTGGTGAGAAGTTTGTGCTGTAGGAGGCCCATGGCCAGGGAGGAAGGCCACTGTGGGCAGGGCCGGACCTGGAGCCCTGTTCACCAGAGCAGTCAGGGACGGGGCCCAGCTGGTTAGGGCGTGCCTGGTGCCCCACAGGCCTCTCAGCCTGGAGATCACTGCCTGCAGCCGCCCCCCTTCCAAAGACTGCCCCAGGGCGTGGGAACCTGGAGACCAGGGGCGGGGCAGGCAGGTGGACTCACAGGCCTCCTGCTGACTGCCCTGTGCAGCCAGGTCCTGATCCCAGTCACTGGGCTTGAGGCAGGAGCCAGGAAGTGGGGCGCATCGCAGAGGACCCTTATGCAGCTTGTCCCATGCTAAGAGGCAGAAACTGAGGCTGGGAGGGGGACATCTGTCCACGGTCACCTGGGAAGTCAGGTCTGCAGAGGACACTTATGCCATCCTCCTGGACCCCTGGGGGTGCAGGAACAGAGGAGAGAAAGGGGCCCTTTTCTTTCTTGAGAAAGGAGGACAGGGCATCTGTAGCACAGACCACCCAGCTGGACAGTCCTGACCAAGGGCCAGCATCAGCTTCTCAGGAGCTGCCCTGGGGCTGGCGGCATCTGCCACACACCTGCCTGGATTTGCCGGCCTCTCGTCCTGGCTTTTCTCTTGGTCTGAGGTGCTGCCCTGGGTGGAGGGCTGTTAGCCCGTGGGGAGAGCAGTGGTGCAGGGTCAGAGCTTTTCTGTCCTGCTGTGCAGGCATGCAGGGGGAGGACCAGAGAGCCAGGAGCTGCTGCGCCCAGGGAGGGAGGCAGAGGTGAAGGCTGGTTGGGCATGAAGCAGCTGGACCATCAGGGACGTTTCAAGCCTGGCCACAAAGCACCTGAGTCAGCACAACAGTCTGTACAAAGGCCCTGGGGCAGGAGCTGGCACAGCTGGTTCCAGAAACAGAATCCAGTCATTCCCCAATAAGTGACTCAGACAGGAGTGTGAGGACAGGTGGCCAAAGGAACCACACCATGTCCCCAGCAGCCATATCCACACAGCTGAGAGGCAGCAGCCCAAATGTCCACCAGCAGATGGATGGATGCATACAATGGTCCATCCCCCTGGAGTGTCCCTCCACCACGATCGAGAGCCAGGGGATGCACTGAAGCGTGGTGGGCCTGAGGTCCTCTGCTTGGTGAGAGCTAGATACAAGCGTGTGACTCAGTGCCAGATGATGCTAGGATAGGAAGGTCCAAGACTTTGGAAGTGGACTCGTGGGAGCCAGCCGGGGGGCATAGGGGACAGGGTTATTTTTGGGTGATGAAATATTCTGGAATGGACTGTGGTGATGGCTGCACACCATGGTGAGCACCCTGGGTGTGGTGACTGGAAAGTGTGAGGTGGTGAGATGTGGGGTCCGGAGCCTGGAGGTGGTGCCAGGGCCACTGTCACCAGGGGAGCCTGGACATGTCTGCTCCCACAGGGTGGGAACCTCCAGGCCCCTCTGTCTCTTTTTCCCTTGGAGTCCCTGTCCTTGTCCTCGCCGGCTCAGCCCAGTGCCCTCTGCTCCTCCAGCTCCTGTCTAAATACGACCCTCAGAAGGAGGCAGAGCTTCGCACCTGGATCGAGGGTCTCACGGGCCTCTCCATCGGCCCCGACTTCCAGAAGGGTCTGAAGGATGGGGTCATCTTATGCACGTGAGTGCACCCTGCCGGGGCACCCCGAGTGGCCCCAACTGCCCTCCTGAGGGTCCGAGTTGCTCCTGCTTCTCTTCCTCTTGTTTTGGGGGCCAGGTCTCTTGGTGCTGGGCAAGCCCCGCCCTCTCTGCTAGGCAGGCACCCAGCACTGAGTAGATGGGTCCCGGCTGAGCTGGCCTGAGACTCCTGCCTCCTGCCTCAGTCACTTGGGCAGCTGGGCTGACAGGTGTGTGGCCAGGCATCCTGCTGTGACCCCGGGGTAGGGCTGCGTGGGCTCCCAGCACCCTGTTTGTCCCCTTCAGATCTCCAGATTTGCACACCACAAATTGAAATGGCAGTTCCCAGATTCCCTCCCCAACCCAGGGCTTCAGGCCCTATCACCAGGGCTCTCCTGTAGCAGCTGGGCTTGCTGGGCAGAGGTGTGGTCTAGTAAGAAAGGGACTGAGCTGCCCAGGAAGGTGACCACTCACCTAGCGGCCTTCCTGCCCCACCGTGTCCCTCCTCTCAGGCTCATGAACAAGCTTCAGCCGGGCTCTGTCCCCAAGATCAACCACTCCATGCAGAACTGGCACCAGGTGAGGGCTGGCTGGTGGAGGGGCCGGGCAGGGGCCATGTCAGAGGGTTGGGCCCGCTCACTGTCCTTCCCCTGGCTCCTCCCAGCTAGAAAACCTCACCAACTTCATCAAGGCCATGGTCAGCTACGGCATGAACCCCGTGGACCTGTTCGAGGCCAACGACCTCTTTGAGAGTGGGAACATCACGCAGGTCCAGGTGGCCCTGCTGGCACTGGCTGGGAAGGTGAGGCTGGAGGGGACCGCAGTGGGGGGGTCTGTGTGTGGAGGCTCTTCGTTTTCTGGGTTTGCACTTGGTTCTGAGCAGCCCTGAGGCTCCAGCACTGTCCTCCTCTGGCCAGAGACACAGTCTGGTGGCGGGGCAGCCCAGGGGTCCTACGGTCCTGGACCTGCTGCAGACATGTCCTCAGTGTTCAGTCTGGAAGCTGAGCCTGGGGCCAGGCTCCTGCGTGGGAAGGGGCTTGGGGTCTCTGAGGGGAGGAGGCTGGGCAGGAGGAGGTGGAGCTGGGCCGGGTGTCTGTGTCCCTGTGCCTGCCCCTCCTGAGGCTCCCAGCTCTTCTCACCCCAGGCCAAGACAAAAGGGCTGCAGAGCAGTGTGGACATCGGGGTCAAGTACTCGGAGAGGCAGCAGCGGAACTTTGATGATGCCACCATGAAGGCGGGCCAGTGCGTCATCGGGCTGCAGGTGGGCACCAGATGTCCCCCAAGTCCTGACCTCCTGAGGGTCTGGAGGCCTGGCGGGGACCACTGACCTCTCCAGCCACTTTCTGCAGATGGGCACCAACAAGTGCGCCAGTCAGTCAGGCATGACGGCGTATGGCACCAGGAGGCATCTCTGTGACCCCAAGAACCACATCCTGCCACCCATGGACCACTCCACCATCAGCCTGCAGATGGGCACCAACAAGTGTGCCAGCCAGGTGGGCCATCCCTGCCGGCCAGCCCAGCCTTCTCTCTGTCCCTCCTGCCTGTTGAACCCCCGCTGCTGTCCCCTTGCAGTGTGTGCCTGGGGAAGTGACAGCCCCGCTCTGTGCCCTAGGGTCCCTCAGTTCTGACACTCTCAGATCTGGGACTCTCATCTGTTCTGCCCAGTCAGTCCCACCCGTCCCTGTGATGGGTTTGGAGCCCTCAGGTCCTAGCAGGCCTGAGTCCCAGCCGGAGGCTGTCCAGGGGAAGGCGGACATTCCTGGTGTTAAGTAGTCAGGGTCCCTGGCAGCCTAGAATCCCTCCTCATAGCCAGAAGTGTCTGCTGAGGTTGGGGGGCCCAGTGGGGGTCCTGGGTCTGGATGGGCAGCAGGGGGAGACCATGGAAGGCCCCTCCCTCCTCCCCTGAGGCCCGCTCCCCCTCTGCAGGTGGGCATGACCGCGCCTGGGACCCGGCGGCACATCTATGACACCAAGCTGGGGACGCACAGGTGTGACAGCTCCTCCATGTCCTTGCAGATGGGCTACACACAGGGGGCCAGCCAGAGCGGCCAGGTCTTTGGCCTGGGCCGCCAGATATACGACCCCAAGTACTGCCCACAAGGCCCTGTGGCAGATGGCGGTGCGGTGGGCACCAGCGACGGCCCCGGGGAGGCCTCGGAACGTCCCCCCTACCTGGGAGAGCCTGGCTGCTGAGGCCCCAGTGTGCTGGGTCCCCTGCCTGCAGCAGCACCCACCTGGGCTCTGGGGGGTTTCTGGGTTCTCGCTTGTTTTTTAAAGCATTGCCAGGCAGGTCTGGGCAGCTGGGGGGGGCAGGGCCTTTCCCTCCCTGCTCGGGATTCACAGACTGAGCTGGGCCAAGGTCCTCGGACACCCGGGAGCAGATTTCCCAGGGGCAGTGGACCTAGCTTTATGGGGGAGGGGGGGGAGGGGGGCAGCGGGGAAGGTGGCCCCCCCCCAATGGCTTCCCGTTTCCTCATCTCTTCCCCCTACGCCTGTGGGTTTTTGTACCGGCTGAAGTTTCAGGAAGTTTTAACCAAAGAAAACGATATTTTTTATTTTTTTTTCAGGAGGAAGGGGAGGGGATGGTAGAGGGGAGTGCTCAGAAATGGGCCTCCTTGGAGGGGTCCAGGACACGGAGTCTCAGTGGTTGGGGAAAACCAGACCCGGCTCACCAAGGGTCCCCCTCCCCTCAGATCCTGTAGGTTTTAAAGACCTCCCCCGGCAGCTCTTCCCCTTCTGGGTCCACCAGCTAGTATCCCTCACCTCCTACTGCACATGACCCCCACCCAGGGGCCCTGGACATTGAGATAATGTGAAATGCCAGTGCGGACCAAAAGCAATAAAGACCTCTGTTTACAAGAAAAGAGGGTGCTGAGAGTTGGGTGGTAAGGGTCGCCTTTACAGCTTCACTCTCGGGGTGTGGGGAGCGGGGAGTGGGTTGGCAGTGGAGGCCTGCTGCCTCTGCCCCTGCCCTCTCTGCTCTACATTGGTCCTCACCTCGGCCTCCCTCCGGCCCAAGGCCACCTCCTGGCTGCGGATCCGCACCCTCCAGGAGACGGGAAGAGGGTCTCCTGCACTGGGAGCCTTGGTATTACAGGGGACTAGGCAACGTGACAGACAGCCAGGCTCCCCAGGGACAGTCCCCGCCGGCGGGTCGCCGGCCGGCCCAGTGGGAAGAACTAGTGGCGTTGCCACCCGCAAGTGATGCAGCAAGAGTCGCGCGGCCCCTTTAAGAAAGCCGGCTCGGGAGCCCCGCTGTGAACCCGCCCTAACCCTCCCGCGGGGCTCCGGTGGGGCCGGCCCGTGACTGGCGGGCACAGCGGCCAATGGCAGCGGCCGGGGCCGGGGCGTGTAGGGCGCGGCCGTGAGCACCGGGATGCAAAAGGCGGTAAAGGGGGGGGGGGGCGCTGAGCCTGCGGGGGCTGAGCCTGCCGGGGACTTCTCTTAAAGGGGCCACGCCCCCTGGCCGCGGAGGGAAGGCGGGCCAGAGCTGGAGGCCAGCACGGTGAGGGGCACCGGGAGAGGAGGACTGTGTCGCGACGGTCGAGAATGCGGGGGTCGGGGTGGGGTGGGAGGAAGGCGAGTTTCCCTGGGAATTAGAGGTACTGGCTGAGCTCCGATCCCACTCACCCTTCCTTTCCTTCCTGTGAGTGTTGGGGCCGCTGAATTGGCCACTAAAGCTCAGTAGGAAGAAGTGGACATGGGGGTCATTTGAGGGGACCTTTGCCAACACACACCTGCAGTGCCTTTCCCACTGAGAGACCCCCAGCCCCTCCCCTTTGTAAATGAGTTGGTCCCCAGAGATCCCCAAAGCCACTGGCGTCAGAAAGAATCCTGGCCAGGAGGTGGAGGTCGCGGTCCTAGGTCCTAGTCCCCAGATGGATGTTGGCCTTTGGCAACTTCCCGCCTTTCTGGGAGCCTTAGCTTCCCCATTTGTGCAAGAAAGTGGCCCAGAGGTGGACAGTCCCTAGAGAAATACAGGGTCGGGTGTTGCTGGAGCCTCCTCCCCTCTGAGAGGCGATGCGTGATGCGGTGGAGAGCTGGGCTCGGTCTCCCGCTTACTGCCCCTTCTTGAGCTCAGTTTCCACTTCTGTAAGATGAAGTAGAGTCCAGTACTGCCAGCCGGGCGTGTGACATGCCCAACGCAGTGAGTATTCGTTGCTGTTATCACTGGGCGACAGGGCCAAAGGGAACCCTGGCCAAGGTCTGGGGGATGGGGCGGAGATGGGACCTGCAAAAAGCCTGGGGGTGGGGCCTGGGAGTGAAAGCGTTAAGCCGAGGCTCCGCCCCTTAAGAATTCAGGAGGGTCTTCTCAGACCCCAGCGGGTAGCCGGCTAAGAGCGACAGCCCTGGCAACCAATCGGCTGCGAAGACGGCTTCGGGCAGGGTTCCCATTGGCTTACTCCTTCTGGGTCGAGGAGCGTCCGGAGATCGAGTACCTGCTCTTCACCTGGTTCGGTCCGAACTTCTGGGAGGCCTGCAGGGTCGAAGGGGAGACGGGTTCAGAGAGGAGCAGGCAGTTGTCGGCAGCCACACAGCACGTCCTCAGACTGACCCTTCTGACCTTTGTCCCGACCCCTCCGTCCCTGTTCAGTCTCACCATGGCTTTCCGGACACAGCTGATGTTGCTGCTTTGGAAGAATTTCATGTATCGCAAGAGACAGCCGGTATGCAACTGCCCCGAGCTGCGGAACAGGGCGGGGTGGGCAGGTGTCCCCCGTGGGCCCACCATCTCCCACCCATTCTTTGCTCAGATACAGCTCCTGGTCGAGTTGCTGTGGCCCCTCTTCCTCTTCTTCATCCTGGTGGCTGTCCGCCACTCCCACCCCCCACTGGAGCACCACGAATGTGAGTCCCCCGTGGCCAGACACTGCCTGGGGAGGAGCGAAGGGCCACCCCCTCTGCCCAGGGGCAGCCGCTGCAGGGATTGCAGCCGAGCTCTCTGTTGCTAGAGGTGTGCCGTCGCGGGGTGGTGCAGAGGTGGGCAGAGCTGGCATCTCCCCACAGGCCACTTCCCCAACAAGCCACTGCCGTCCGCGGGCACTGTGCCCTGGCTCCAGGGCCTCATCTGCAACGTGAACAACTCCTGCTTCCCGCAGCCAACACCTGGTGAAAATCCCAGGCTCCTGAGCAACTTCAATGACTCCCTGTGAGCAAGAGGCATTGGGTGGGGCCCCCCGTGGGCTCCGTGCTCCAGGAGTGCCCCTGAAACCCCACCTCCTTCCCCTACTCTGTCCCCAGGGTCTCTCGGCTCCTGGCCGATGCCCGCACTCTACTGGGGGGTCCCAGTGCCCAGAGGACGCTGACTGGCCTGGGAGAGCTGATGCCCCTGCTGAGGGCCATGAGCAGCAGAGGTAGGGGGCCCTAGAGGGCTGAGCGCTGAGCCCCAGCCTGCCTGCCGGGCACTGGTGGAGTGGGGTGTTTCAGGAGAGACTTGCCAACCCTGTGCTTCTCTGTGTCCTTCCTCCAGCCTGGCCTCCACAGACTGACTGGCAGCAGGAGCGTCCTTCACTGGTCGCTGAGCTTCTGGGGATGCTGCTGCCAGGGGTGAGGCAGGGCTGGGTGGGAGCAGCGGCCGCTGGGGCATTGTTTCAGGGAGCCCCAGTGCTCACCCTGCAGGGGCCTGATTCCAGCCTCCTGCTGGGGCTGCACCTGGCCCCTGGAGCAGTCAGTGTGCCCTGTCCTGCCTAGCATGGTGGTAGAGACTCCAGGGTGCCACTGAACAAGTCCTGTACTGTGGGAAGCCGCTCTGAATGACCAAGCCTTCCCGTCCCGTCCCGAAGCACAGGGCTCGGGCCAATCACTGCAAGTCCTAGTGACTTGGGCGTGGTCCCAGCTGGTGGGGGGGATAGCAAGGCGTGGCTTCAGGTGGAGGTGTACCCACTGGGGTTCTCCCTTGTAATCCTACCCCATCTGCCTTTTCTGGACAGAACATTCTAAGAACAGCATCTTCCCAAGTAAAAGTCCACTCCTGAATGTGCTCCGCCCCCCCTCAGCCTCTCCTGACTTTGTCTGGCCCCCCCTTTGGGGAGGCTTGAGGCGGGAGCTGGGGAGAGCCCTTCTGAAGCTTGGGCTCTGTACCTCTCAGAGCCTCAGTCCCCTGTTGGTAAAGTGCTGGTCTGAGCCCCTACAGACCTGGTGGACGAAGAGAGGGGGCCATTGGTGTTCTTGCCGTCTCCTCCACAGGAACCCCTGGGGGGCGCCCTGGGTCATGCCCGGGAGTCCATGGACAGCTTTGTGGAAGCAGTCAAAGACCTGGTCCAGGAGGTGAGGCTCCACCCGGCCTTGACCCTGGCCAGGTTGGGGTGGTGATGGATGGCCTGGGCACATTTCTTGAGGGTTCAGGTGCCCCTGGCAGAGTCCCTGCTCTGGGTTAGGCTTGGAGATGGATGGTGCTGGGAGGATGGCCAATGCTCTCTGTTGACCCTGCCTTAGCTCCTGGTGCTGCCCAGCCTGGTGGAGCTTCGGAGTCTGCTGCAGAGACCCCGGGGGACAGGTGGCCCCCTGGAGCTGGTGTCAGAAGCCCTCTGCAGTGCTCAGGGGCCTAGCAGCCCAGGGGGCCTCTCCCTCAACTGGTACGAGGCTGGCGACCTGAGGGAGCTGGTGGGGCAGGACCCAGCACCAAACCTGCCAGACAAAGGCCTGAGTAAGTGAATGGCCTGTTTCCCCACCTGGGAAGTGGGGCAGGGGGCAGAGGGCAAGGCCTCACAGCACCCCCACCCCAGGCCCTGCCTGCTCTGAGCTGATGGGGGCTCTGGGAGACCACCCACTGTCCCGCCTGCTCTGGAGGCGCCTGAAACCGCTGATCCTGGGGAAACTGCTGTTTGCACCTGACACGAATTTCACGCGGCAGCTCATGGCCCAGGTGAGGGCACTGGGTGCCAGGCGGGAGGGAAGTGGCCAAACACCACCCAGTATCTGGCCAGGTGTGTCACAGCCAGGCCAGAAGGTCTCGGAAGCTGCATTCTGAAGACGTAGGAGTTTGTTAGCTGTCAGAGACCAGCAGGTACAGGCTCCGAGGCACAGACGGAAGCAGGGCCCCCAGAGGGTGGGAAGTGGTGAGTGGGAAGGGCCAGGACGGGTCTGGTGCTGCCTGCCTGCAGGTCAACCGGACCTTCGAGGAGCTGGCTCTGCTGAAGGATATCCAGGAGGTCTGGGGGGTGCTGGGACCCCAACTCTTTGACTTCATGAACAACAGTGCCAATGTGGCTATTCTGCAGGTGGGCTAGGGTGAGGGTACATGGTGTGGGGGTGCCATGCTGGGTCAGGGCATGGAGGTGGAAGTTGAAAGTTGTGGTGGGAGGGCAGATGGGCCCCCACAGACAGGAAGGGGTACCTGATACAGACCTTTCCTCACCTGACACCCCCCCAGAGGCTCCTTCAAAGGCAGGACAAATCGGGGTGGCAGCCAGGACCAGGAGGCCCAGACCCGACGGAGGCCCTGCAGTCCTTTCTGGACCCCAGCATGGGTGGCTACAGCTGGCGCGATGCCCACGCTGATGTGGGACTTCTGATGGGCACACTCGGCCAAGTCATGGAAGTGAGCCACCTACCTGGGGTCTGAGTCACGGAGAGGAGGCAAGGCCAACCTGGGGATCCGAAGGTGGAGGCAAATCTTGCCCTGGGGGAGGTGGGCTCTGTCCGCCAGAAGGCCTGGTCACAGATACCCTGGGCTTCACAGAGGTCTGAGGGGGAACGCAGTTGGAGGTCCTGGGGGGGAGTCTGCCTTGACCCAGATGGGGTCCTCCGTACCATGCTGGGCAGGCCTCAGCTCCTGGGATTCATACCCCTAGTGTGTGTCCCTGGACAAGCTGGAGGCCTGGCCTTCCGAGGCAGCCCTGGTGTCGCGGGCCCTGCAGCTGCTGGCCGAGCACCGCTTCTGGGCCGGCATCGTCTTCCTGGAGCCCCAGGACCCGGCAGACTCCTCAAAGAAGCCAGCCCCAGACCTGGGCCCTGGCCACGGCCACGTGCAAATCAAGATCCGCATGGACATCGACGATGTCACCAGGACCAATAAGATCAGGGACAGGTGGGAGGGAGCAAGAGTTTGGTGGACGGGGCCAACCCTGGACCTTCAGCCTAGACACAACCTGGGCGCCTAGGCGCCGTGGGCGTGGCCTAGGCTGGGATGGGACCCAAGTAGGTCCGGCTGAGGGCAGTGGTGGGCGTGGCTGGTGTGTAACTGAACCGCAAGGTGCAGATCCAGCTGTGAAAGGCGGGTCCTTAGAGTTTCCAGCACTTCCCTACAGCTGCCCGCCACTCCCCTCTCGCAGGTTTTGGGACCCTGGCCCGGCCGCGGACCCCCTGACTGACCTGCGCTATGTGTGGGGCGGCTTCGTGTATCTGCAGGACCTGCTGGAGCACGCTGCTGTCCGCGTGCTCAGCGGCACGGACCCCCGCGCTGGCTTCTACCTGCAGCAGATGCCCTACCCGTGCTACGTGGACGACGTGTGAGCTCCGCGCCCCTCCGCACTCAATTCCCAGTCCGGGGAGCGAGGAACCTTCGCCACGGCTGAGCCTTGGGTTCCCAGGCGAACGGTCCTGCCAGGTGGACGAGGGAGCTCCGCACGGTGTTCAGATCCACCACCATGTCGCGTTCCTCAGGTTCCTGCGTGTGCTGAGCCGGTCGCTGCCCCTGTTCCTGACGCTGGCTTGGATCTACTCAGTGGCGCTGACCGTCAAGGCTGTGGTGCGGGAGAAGGAGACGCGGCTGCGCGACACCATGCGCGCCATGGGACTCAGCCGCGCGGTGCTCTGGCTCGGCTGGTTTCTCAGCTGCCTTGGGCCCTTCCTGTTCAGCGCTGCGCTGCTCGTTCTGGTGCTGAAGGTGGGTGCGCCCCCGCCTTCTGGGCCCAGGAGGGGCGCGTGCCAGGGTTATAAGCAGGAGGCAGGGCCAAATCCTGGACTCCTTTGCTTTCCACAGGTGGGGGACATCCTTCCCTACAGCCACCCGGCCGTGGTCTTCCTGTTCTTGGCAGCCTTTGCGGTAGCCACCGTGGTCCAGAGTTTTCTGCTGAGCATCTTCTTCTCGCGTGCCAACCTGGCGGCCGCCTGTGGAGGCCTCGCCTACTTCTCACTGTACCTGCCCTACGTGCTCTGTGTTGCCTGGAGGGACAGGCTGCCCACGGGTGGCCGTGTGGCCGTGGTGAGGGCCGTGGGGCCTGGCGGGCACACCCCAGGACCAGGCCACCCTCTGACCCACCCACTCCCCTACAGAGCCTGCTGTCGCCAGTGGCCTTCGGCTTCGGGTGCGAGAGCCTGGCCCTGCTGGAGGAGCAGGGTGAGGGCGCACAGTGGCACAACTTGGGCCGGGGACCGGCGGCAGATGTCTTCAGCCTGGCGCAGGTCTCAGGCCTCCTGCTGCTGGACGCCACCCTCTATGGCGTCATCGTCTGGTACCTGGAGGCTGTGTGCCCAGGTGGGCCCTAGAGCCCACGGGAGGTCTGGGTCATCTACCTGGAGACACCTAGTTAGGTCCCGAGTGGGGCCCTGCCTCCGGCTGCGGCCTGAGCACAAAAGCCTGTCCCTTCCTTCGGGTGGTGCCTCCCTGCCATGAAGTACCTGGAGGCGTGCCTCCGGTGGTGAGGGTGGTGAGCGTGGTGTTTCCTGGCACCTCCGCGCAGGTAGTGCCTGTAAAGGCAGAGCCACCGCCTACCTGGATGTCTGGACTCCAGGTGTGTGGCTGGAAGTTGGCACACTCCACGGGTAGTCGGCACGACTCAGCCTCTCTCCCCAGGCCAGTACGGGATCCCCGAACCGTGGAATTTTCCCTTTCGGAGGAGCTACTGGTGTGGGCCTGGACCCCCCAAGGGTCCCGACCCCATCCCTGCCCCCCAGGACCCAAAGGGTGAGGCCCTACAAGCCTGAACAGCTGCTTCCCGGTCTGGACTCCCCACTCCTCCTCCCCGTGAACAGCCAGGTTCCCCCAGATCAGACCCTCCCCAGCCCCTGCACACCACGCCGGCCCCTCCTACGGTCCCTCACCTCACGGTTCCCCGATTCCTCACCCTGCTGTCGGGCCCCCAGGGCCCCCAGCTGACGGCCTCCCTCCTCAGTGCTGGTGGAGGAGGCGCCCCGGGGCCTGCGCCCTGGCGTCTCTGTTCGAGGACTGGAGAAGCGCTTTCCCGGCTGCCCACAGCCAGCCCTGCGTGGGCTCAACTTGGACTTCTACCAGGACCAGATCACTGCATTCCTGGGCCACAACGGGGCGGGCAAGACCACCACGCTGTGAGCGGCTGGCCTCCCTCCTCCTCCTGTCTCAGCTTCCCTGTCTGTCAGTGGGGAAGGCGTCTGGGGCGGGGGCAGTGCACTCGACCCCTGGGACAGGCATCTTAGCACAGTTCCCCTCCTCTGCAAAGTGCAGGCCTTGGGCCCCTGGGGTAAGCATCAGTAGGTGCTCTGTGCTTGCAGCCCCTCTCGTGGTGACAGGCAGATTCCCGCCTCCCCCCAGGTCTATCCTGAGCGGCCTCTTCCCGCCCAGTGGTGGCTCAGCTTTTGTCCTGGGCCACGACGTCCAGTCCAGCATGGAGGCCATCCGGCCCCACCTGGGGGTCTGCCCGCAGTACAACGTGCTGTTTGACATGTATGTCCTGGAGTGCCTGTGGGTGGGCTGGGCCGGCTTCAGGACCCCATGGTGGCCATCGCCCCCCTCGCCGCAGGCTGACCGTGGAGGAGCATCTGTGGTTCTACGGGCAGCTCAAGGGCTCCCATGCCACAGTGGTGGGCGCTGAGCAGGAGCGTCTGCTGCAGGACGTGGGACTCGTGCCCAAGCGGTGGACTCAGACACGCCACCTCTCTGGTGAGCCCACAGGGTTAGGGTCTTGAGAAGCCAAGGGACGGACGGATCTGGGGACCAGGAGGAGCCAGGCCTTGAGGTCTCTGGGGGTGGAGAGGACAGGCAGCCATACCCACCGCAGAGAGGGTCACGCCAGGATCCTCCAACCCCCCAGGTGGGATGCAGCGGAAGCTGTCCGTGGCCATGGCCTTTGTGGGTCACACGCGGGTGGTCATCCTGGATGAGCCCACAGCTGGTGTTGATCCCACATCCCGCCGAGGCATCTGGGAGCTGCTGCTCAAGTACCGGGAAGGTGAGAGTTGGGGGTGGCTTGAGGGTCCCCTGGACTGTGCTTCAGGGCCCAAATGTCTGACGGGGGAGTGCCGGGCCGCGTTTTGAGAGGTGAGTAGGAGCTCGGAGCCGTGGGCAGGAGGTGGCCAGCAAGACCACAGCTGGGGCAGCACCTGGGGCTGGGCCCTGTGTGCAGGTCGCACGCTGATCCTCTCCACCCACCACCTGGATGAGGCCGAGCTCCTGGGAGACCGGGTGGCCATGGTGGCAGGTGGCCGCCTGTGCTGCTGTGGGTCCCCACTCTTCCTGCGCCGTCACCTGGGCTCTGGCTACTACTTGACACTGGTGAAGAGTCCCCAGCCCCTGGCCAGTGCCGTGAAGGTGAGGCCCAGAGCTAGGCCCTGCCCTGACCCCCGTGGGTCTGTCCAGCCTGATGGCCACATCTGTGGCTGCCCCTCTGTCTGCAGGATGAGGAGGACACCCACTTGAAGGACGGCAGGGGCTCTGGCCAGAACAGCACTGCGGGTGAGATGGGTGGGAGGCCCCCGGGCAGGGAGGGGGCAGCAGAGTCCTGTTCAGGGCAACAAGACTCCAATGCCCCCACCTGGGCTGTGTCAGAAGGTACCTGAACTTGGCTGAGCCCACACTCTGGCCCTGACCTTTGACCTGTCCTGGGCTGAGCCAGACACAGGCCCACCTGACCAAGGACCCTGAGCCAGTCCTGCCCTCAAGTTCTTGCCCCTGACCTCCGCCCCTAGGGTCGGCCCCTCCCGCAGGAGACGGGTGGGAGAGGGGCTCCCGGGCCTCAGGGCCTAGATGCACCTCATTCACGCAGGTGCCCCTCAGCTCCTGGCCCTGGTGCGGCGCTGGGTGCCTGGGGCCCGGCTGGTGGAGGAGCTGCCCCACGAGCTGGTGCTGGCCTTGCCCTACGCGGGTGCGCTGGATGGCGGCTTTGCCAGGCTCTTCCGGGAGCTGGATGAGCAGCTGGGGGCGCTGAGCCTCAGTGGCTATGGGATCTCAGACACCAGCCTCGAGGAGGTGCGGGCCAGGGGAGTCCCGGGGCCCAGGAGGGCAGCCTGGGGGACGCAGAAGAGCTGGCTCCGCCAGGGAGCGAGGGGTGCGATCCCGGGGGAGACCGCGCCAGGAGTGGGGGAGGCTCAGAAGCCCTCTGAGGTGGCAGGTCTCTGAGCCCCCGTGCTGTCTCCCCAGATCTTCCTGAAGGTGACAGAGGACTGTGCCTCGGACACAAACCCAGAAGGTGTGGCTGCAGCTTTGTGACCTTTGCCCCAACCTGGGTCCAGAGCAGGTTCTCGTCTCAAGCCAAGCCGATGCCTGGCTGAGTCGACCCCAGTGCCTAGCCTGAGTCCTGACCTTTCCACCCATGACCCTTGACCCTGGCCCCAGACAACACTGACACTGCCCGTTCCCCATTGGCCCTGCAGATGGCAGCCCTGGGCAGCAGGCCTGTGTGCACCTGGCTGTCCCAGATGGCACCCCGGGGGCCACGGTCGTGCCAGAGGAACCAGCCCCGGGCCAGGGGGAGCTGGGTGAGTCCCGCACCCCACAATCCCCCAAGGTCCCCACCTCCAGAGCACTGACCTTCCCGCCCCCGACAGCTGGGTCGGCCCCAGAGACCCAGGCCTTGCAGGGCTCTGCGCCGGCCACTGCAGGACGAGTACAGGGCTGGGCACTGACCCGTCAGCAGCTCCGAGCCCTGCTTCTCAAGCGCTGTCTGCTGGCCTGCCGTAGCCGCTGGGGCCTGTTTGCACAGGTGAGGGGGCCCTGGGACAAAGGAAGGTGCCGGGGAGTCCCTGCTGACGCCTCTGGCCATCCCCTCAGTGTCTCGCTTCCATAGCTTCATCCTGTGCGTATTTATTGAAGACCCTAGGGAGCCCTGGGTGGTTCTAGAGCGGGAGCAGGGAAGGGTATGAGCAAGCCTGGAGGGTCGTGGAGGTGGCAGCTGAGGGGATGCCCCTCCAGATTGTGCTGCCCGCCCTCTTTGTTGGCCTGGCCCTGCTCTTCAGCCTCATCGTGCCTCCTTTTGGGCACTACCCAGCTCTGCGGCTCAGTCCTGCCATGTACGGCGCCCAGGTGTCCTTTTTCAGGTGAGTGCAGAGGAGAGGGGCTGGTGGAGGGAGGGTTGGCCACCTGGGGACACAGCTCTGATCTGCACACACACAGCGAGGACACCCAGGGGGACCCCAAGTATGGCCGCCTGCTCAAGGCGCTGCTGGGGCAGGCAGGACTGGAGGAGGCGCACCTGCAGAACACCTCCAACAGGTGAGGCCCGGCCTGGACCCCCTCTGGCCCCGGGTCCCCTCAGGGCTGTGGTGGGGAGGACCCACCTGCCGTGGCACTTGGGAGCTGGGAGCCACCGTGCTTCCAGAGAACAGGCAGTGGGTGCCCACAGCCCTGCACCCTGACCCACAGGCTGCCCGCGTGCCCAGGGGCCCTCTCCTGCCTGTTCTCAGTCCCTGAGGCCACTGCTGATGTGGCCAGGGTCCTGGCCCGTGGCAACTGGACCCCAGAGTCTCCATCCCCAGCCTGCCAGTGCAGCCAGCCTGGTGCCCGCCGCCTGCTGCCCGACTGTCCGGCTGCGGCTGGTGGCCTCCCACCGCCCCAGGCAGTGGCCAGCTCTGGGGAGGTGGTCCAAAACTTGACGGGCCGGAATCTGTCCGACTTCCTGGTGAAGACCTACCCAAGCCTGGTGCGCCAGGGGTAAGCACCACATGGCACCCGGCCTGCTGCAGCTGGGCCTCGGGCCCGGTGCGCCTGGGCAGGGGCGTTGGGGCAGGTCCAGATGCCCAGCCTGACCCTGCACCTCTATCCCCCCTCCCTGTCTGTGTCCTCCACAGCCTCAATACTAAGAAGTGGGTGGATGAGGTCAGGTAAGGAGGGACCTGGGGTTGCTGGCCCCACTGCGTACCCCCTGGCCCTCAGCTCTTCTTTCTGTGCCCCCCAGGTATGGGGGCTTCTCATTGGGGGGCCGAGACCCAGACCTGCCCTCAGGGACGGAGGTGGCCCATTCTGTGGAGCAGCTGAGGGCCCTGCTGAGTCCCCAGCCAGGTGGAGCCCTGGACCATGTCCTGCACAACCTCTCAGCGTGGGCTCACAGCCTGGATGCTCACCACAGCCTCAAGGTGAGAACCCAGGGTGGCGGCTGGATGGCCCTGAGGGTCCAGCCTTGGCCACCCTGACTCTGTGGCCTCCACTCCACAGATCTGGTTCAACAACAAGGGCTGGCACGCCATGGTAGCCTTTGTCAACCGAGCCAACAATGCACTCCTGCATGCCCACCTGCCCCGGGGCGCCGCCCACCAGGCCTACAGCATCACGACGTTCAACCACCCCCTGAACCTGACCAAGGAGCAGCTGTCCCAGGCTGCCCTGTGAGTCCGCGCCCGCCCACCTCCGTGGCTCTGAGGTGTGGGCAGCGTGGCTGCCGCGTGGCCAGGTTTGAACTCTGTCATCCAGGGCCGCGACCTGCTCCGAGGCTGCGTAATGGCCACCTCTGGCCACCGCGCTCCAGCCCCCCAGACTCCACGTGTCCCTGTCCCGCCCGTGGTCCTCCCGGGCAACATCTCCTGCCCAGCAGCTCGACCACCCCTCCCCACGTGGCTCAGGCCCTCTCCGCCACCCACGGCGGCCCATGAGCCTCGTCCCTGCGGGGCACGCGTGGCCGTGCCCTGAGCAGCCTCGTGCCCTCGCCTCCAGGATGGCCTCGTCCGTGGACGTGCTCGTGTCCATCTGTGTGGTCTTCGCCATGTCCTTCGTCCCGGCCAGCTTCACCCTGGTCCTCATTGAGGAGCGTGTCACGCGAGCCAAACACCTGCAGCTCGTCGGGGGCCTGCCCCCCACCCTCTACTGGCTGGGCAACTTTGTCTGGGACATGGTGCGGGGGCGGCCCAGGAGTGGGGGGCTAGCTGCCCTTTGGCCCTTCTGGGCTGGGACTGGTCACGCAGGGGTGAGGTCTTGAGGACCGTGGGACACATCACGTTCTCCTGTCCAAAGAGTAGGAAGCAGAGGGCTCACAGGGCTGAGGGTGGCTGAGGAGGGCGGCGTCCATCTCTGTGCAGTGCAACTACTTGGTGGCTGTGTGCATCGTGGTGCTCATCTTCCTGGTCTTCCAGCAGAAGGCCTATGTGGCCCCTGCCAACCTGCCTGCCCTCCTGCTGCTGCTGCTACTGTATGGGTGAGGTCCCCGTCCCTCCAGCTCCTTCTTGTGCCCTCCCCCCTGCACCGAGGGAGACGGGACCCTGCAGCAGCTCCTGAGGGCCGACGTGGAGCTGGGTGGGAAACTGGGAGCCTTCCATTCAGTCATCTCCACCGTGGCCTTAAAAGCTCAGCCCGCCCGGATCTGCATGATCAGAGGCCCTCCGGGAGGCCTGCTCCTCCCAGGGGTGCCCAGTGAGGTCCTGTCGCCCTGCAGCTGGTCAATCACGCCACTCATGTACCCGGCCTCCTTCTTCTTCTCCGTGCCCAGCACGGCTTACGTCGTGCTCACCTGCATCAACCTCTTTGTGGGCATCAACGGCAGCATGGCTACCTTCGTGCTGGAGCTCTTCTCGGATCAGGTTGGGCTCTGCGGGGTGGGGGTGGGGCCGGGCTGCAGTGTGGCCTCAGCTCCCGACCGACTGCCTCTTCCTGCCCCCAAGCAGAAGCTGAAGGAGGTGAGCCGCGTCCTGAAACGCATCTTCCTCGTCTTCCCCCACTTCTGCCTGGGCCGGGGGCTCATCGATATGGTGCGGAACCAGGCCATGGCTGACGCTTTTGAGCGCCTGGGTGAGAACTTCCTGCCCTGTGAGACTGGTCAGCACCCTCAAAAGTGCCGTCCTAGAGTCAGTTACACAGAGTGGAGACCAACAGCCTCCAGGGAGAGACCCAAGAGCCCCAGGTGGCCTCAAGGTTGAGCCCAGTCAGAGGTGTAGAAAAGAAGTCATAAAAGTTGATTTTGTCTTGGGGCACATCACTAGAAATCTAAATCCCTAAATAAGGGAGGGGGGTGGCCGACCTCTATTTTCTATGCCCATGAGACCCCCAGCTGAGTAGCCGGTCCAGGTCTTCTTTGACTTTTACCTTGAGAATCCAGGTGAGCCAGATGGGGAGGACACAACTCCCTGGGACAGAGTCCGTCCTTCCTGTCCCCACAGGAGACAGGCAGTTCCAATCGCCCCTGCGCTGGGAGGTGGTGGGCAAGAACCTGCTGGCCATGTCTGTGCAAGGGCCCCTCTTCCTCCTGCTCACGCTCCTGCTGCAGCACCTCGGCCGCCTCCTGCCACAGTCAGTGGGGAGCAGGGTGGGGTGGCAGGGCCAGGGACCTACCTGGGACCCACGCGTGTCTCTGTCTTCAGACCCCAGCTGAGGACGCTGCCGCCCCTGGGAGAGGAGGATGAGGATGTGGCCCACGAGCGGCAGCGGGTGGCCAGAGGGGCCACCAAGGGGGACGTGTTGGTTCTCAGGGACCTGACCAAGGTAGGTGTGGCCACAGAGAGCTGGGCGGGGGCTCCCACTGGCCACCCCCTTTCTCAGGGACCTGCCTCCTCCTAGGTGTACCATGGGCAGAGGATGCCAGCTGTCCACCGCCTGTGCCTGGGGATCCCCCCAGGTGAGGTGAGTCCCCGTGAAGGACCTGGTGCTGGGCGGTGGGAGGCTGCACATCACTGCAGGGCTGACACTGCTAGGAACCTGCTGCCCACCACTTACTCAGCACTTACTGGGTGCCAGGATTTGAACTCCTGTTTTGTGCCAACATATCCTCATTAATTAAGCACCTACTGCATGCTTCCATTTATTAAGCATCACTGTGCTCACCCCGTGCCAGCAAACATTTGGAAGTCTGTTGTGCACACACTTGTGTATGGGCTTTGTAGGATAGTCGGTAAACAGAAGGCAAAAACATTCCCCGCTGAAGAACAGAGTTGTGCCTCTCCAATACCCCAGGGTCTGTCCCAGGCTCCACCTCGCCCACAGCCGCCCACGCCGGAACTCAAGGCTGCCACCAGGCACCAAAAACACAAGGACAGGGCTGGTCCCCCTGAGCCGTTAGGGCTGCTGCCAGGGGAACCCCAGGTGGGGGTCGGGGCTGGGCCTCCCCAGCACCATCTCCGGCATCCCGCAGTGTTTCGGACTGCTCGGTGTGAATGGAGCCGGGAAGACCACCACGTTCCGCATGCTGACCGGGGACATACTGCCCAGCATGGGCGAGGCAGTGCTGGCAGGTCACAG